ATGACTAGCTGCCTTCTCACTAGTCTTACACTGCTAAATTAAGGGTGGCTAGCGCAGATAACCCTCGTGTAGCTTTGTGCAAAATAATCCAAACAAACAAACATTTTTCAGAAAAATGAAAGATTAATGGGTGAGAGTAGCCAGTTGAACATGTATAAACTGCTGATGGAAATCCACAACCTGCAACTCCTAATGACATCAATAAAGTTTGATTTATTATCTTATTATCAACTTTTTTTTTTAATGGTAAATTGTGAAAACAAAGTTCAGAAAGTTTTATATTATCCCAGTTAGTAACAGCTTCTTTCAATTCTTTCTCAAGGTTATTTATATATTTTAATGCCATTTTGTGTGCCTTTCTGGTGTCATACCGATACAAAGTATGACTTTCTGATGATATATATATTTTTCTAACATTTGTCTTCCGCATTTCTTATATTAGACTTTTCTTTTTATTCACCAAGTGTATATTTATTTCTTCTTTTTTTTTAATAGTATTTAACCTGCATGTTTTATTTATTTTTCTTTACCGCTAACCATTACTAACTTTATTATGTATTCAGTTTGATTAATGTAATCACTATGTTTTTTTTCTTTAGGCTGTTTAAGTAAGCTTGCTTCAGTTTTTCTTTAAATATTACTTCAGCCTTTTCTAATATTAAAGTAAAATTCCTTCATCTTAATAATATGTTTAATCTAGTTAATTTCATCATTTTATTTAATTAGGCTCATTTCATTTAATAGGTCTTAGGTAAGATGCACAAGGATTGAAAACTGAAGACTTACAATATACTATATATATATATATATGATATATCAAGATATCTATGTTCAATTTTTATTATAAGTGTGGAATCCTTAATATAAAAAATAAAAAAATGTATACACATGTATTATCAAATTTCTCACTATTTTATGTTTAATCAATATTAGGTTACTGATGTAAAATCTGGAAAAAGCTTAGGGAATTGTTCTTTTCAAGTTTCACATTTGTTACAAGAAAAAAATAATCGATCAGACCAGACTCTCAAACTTCAAGGATCAAGAGATGAGGCCAGTATTTTCTTAATGCTGCAGTTAAAAGTAAATAGACATTCAACAGTAACTAGATAATTATGTTTGAAAGAACAAAGGAATCAGTAAAACTGTGGTATTTCAAGACTTAGTATAGAAATGAAGCACACAGACACTTGATCACAGTAATATAAAGAGACTTGTGGTCCTATTATATGGAAAGATAATTGCAGTCATTTCTTACTAGTAGAATGAAAGATATAAGATATGAAGAGAAGCAAAGACAATTTCATTACAGAATAACATAGTAAAACATTTGACAATCATGCAAAGAGATTGAAACACTATTTTTGGAGCTAAAACATTAAACTGGTTGCTACTAAAGATACAAAAATAATATACACCTGGAAAAAAGTTAAGCACCCCCAAATATTTTTCAGGATTGCTTATTGAAAATAAGGTTTAATTTTCATGATGTTGAGCAATGTTCATAATTTCAAATATAATTAAAAGGATGTGAGGGTTCAGGTGTGACATTTAAATCAGGCGCGTTTTTTTTCCCCACGTGCAACTTGCTCCCT